TTTGTTTTCATATGTTTTTTTCATGAATCTCACCGAGGTAATTGGATAGTAAAGATTTTTATGTTAATAAATGAGTTTGTTATAAATTATGCTCTATTGGTCGTTTTTGTTTTCTACCGACCTTTACTTCTGTGGCAGTGAGATAGTGTGATGTCTTTACTGAGTTAGTGTAGCTCATTCCTTACTTAATCATTTCAGATCAGGAAGACGTGGTTCCCGAGCCTGTTCCGCAGGAAGATGGCGAGTTAGACGCCTAAGGACCTTATAACTCTATTTATAGTTTTTATTTCGAACATTTCTTTTAAATTAGTTTATTCTTTCATGTTTTGAGTACGTTTTTTGTTATTGTGTAAGGGATGTTAATCAAAATTTTTATTACGCTTCCGCATTTAAGATCTTTAATACATACATTTTGATTTTAAATTCCGGGACCGTTACATTAAAAGAACAAGAAATGAAGCATTTAATTAGGGGAAACAACTAAAATTCTACCTCTATAATTAAGTTCGATAATTAAAAATTGATCGACTAATATTTATTCATCAATTATCTCATATATATTTTTATTTTATAAAATAATGCTAATTGTACGTTCCAAAAGTTTTTTTGGAAAAAATGAAAACGCTAAAAATGAATTAATATGATCGAAATAATTTTGAAGTTAAATAAGTTTCTTAACTGTATAATTAATATTTTTATTCTTCTCTTATAAATTTATAAATTTGAATCATACTGTATGTCTTGTATATATCTTCGATATGAGGTTGATTATTTTATTTATTTATTAAAAAAATTTGATTATATTATTATTTATGTATAAATTAAATTATTAAAATTAATGTGTATTTTTACTAAAAGAGTCTCTCTCCCTACCTACAGATACTTACTCGCGCGCGCACACACATATACGTATATGTCCTTAGGATTATGCCCTGAAAATATCTTAACCGGCCCCTTATCTATAGCAGAATAAGCATAAATCCTAATGCATAATACATATGGCTGGAAGTATAAGTAGGTGAGTAAAGCATCTGATCCAGCAACTCCCCAATAAGAGGGGGATTTCCATGCAGTTCACTTATTCTATTCCTCTTTAAGAAAATGCCTGCCACCATTTTTATACCTATTCACTATCAATTTGGCAATGTAAATATATGCATATTCGCAATTAAGTTAACTTCTGGTTGGCTATAAATATGAGTATAGGAATGTGCAGCTAAACTATCAGACCAGGGAAGCTTAATTTAACACAATCTCCTTCTTTCCTATCCCAAGCTTAATTAGTCTGCAATTTCGAGAAGAATGGCATCGTTAAAAGCTGAGAAGCCTGTTGCCAAAGCAACACCTAAAGCTCCAGCCTCCAAACCGGCGCCTAAGAAGGCTGAGCAGAAGCCCAGGGAACCTAAGAAAAAGGTAGATATATATAATCGCTTATAGTATATTTATGTTTAGAAATATAAATCCATAGCATTGAAGTTTGTTACATAGTCATATACTATAATAAGCATACGTATGTATTTGCATGCATGGAACACGCAACATGCGATTAATTTTTGTTTTGATTATTATTTGATCCTACGCACATGTTGGTATACATACAATTGTTGACGTTAATTAATTACACTAACATTATGGCGTTTAATTAAGGCATCCGGAGGTGGGAAGCCGTCGGCAGCAGCCAAGAATATCTAAAATGGAGGAGAATGGACGACAAGAACTTTGGTATAACATGTTAATTAAGATGATGCAATCACTTCATGAAACTAATTAATTAAAATTATGTATTTATAATTAGTTTCTGGAGAGCTTGCTTAGTGTTAATTACATTGTTATGGAAGCTCTTGTTCCCCATGTACTACCATCCCATGTTTCTACCTTTTTAAGCTTTCCGCATTAAATAAATAAATAACGTATATTTTACATATTATATATTTGTAACTAAAGTTGTATTATTATTATAGTATTATTATTATTATTTCAAAAATACAATTTCATTACAAATAAGGTGGTATCTGGTTAACCACACAATGACAACCTACAAAGGGAAGAGCCACCGTAGAGAAGGCATGTGTAGTCAAATTACAAATTCTAAGCATTCAAAAGACAAAAAGAAAGAAACTAGTAAACACACATTCCCCAACAATAATTTAAATTCAGAATTCAGAATGGTAGCTGAAAATAAACTATTCTAAATTACTTAACAATCTCGTTTATCTAATATGCGTTGAAAATGCATATCTTTAGTTAGCTCCAGACTATAAATGAGAATTGTACATCTGCAAGCTCAATAGACGTAAGACATAAAATCCATCACATGGCAGTAAACAACAGTTCTTCACTAGAGCCTCGAGTAATGACCCTAAACCTCACAAATCATATACCAATAAATGCATCAGCATTAATTTTTATTTCTCGCTAAAGATAGGACCCATCTGATCTTCCGACCGCTTTGAAAGCTATTCACTTATAGGATGTCATTTTTGTCAATCTGTAAGCCTGAAATTCTTGAATATACTTATGAAGTTCTTGGATTAAATCCCAATCATTATGAATCTATTTGTTATATGCCCAACAAATACCCCTTAGTATATACATGAACCAAACATTAAAAAATTTTGCTAATAAACAATCTCTTAACCAACTGTAAAGGCCCTATGAGAGCTGAGGTTCTCTTTTAAACAGGAACAATTTCCTTTATTTTCTGTATACTCACAAAATTAAAGTAGATGACCAATAGTCTCCTCCTCTCTATAGAGAATAAATGGGGTCAAGTTGTATACCTTTTTAGGCCAGTCTGGCTTTTACGAGTAAAAAGTCTTTCATGAGGTGCCATACCATGTGTTTTATACAAGGTAATATAGGTGCATTCCACAACTGTTTCCAAGGGATCATTTTGTTACTTATGAATGTACTAGCTGCTTAATGGTATTTGGGTGATTAATGTTGCATCTTCGAGATAAAAGTAGTCTTAGCCAAATCCTTTTCCATGTGATGCCAAGAGGGTCAACCAAATCAGCCACCATAATAACTTAAGATATCAAAGGGTGTGGCATACATACATGAACTCCATCTTGGTTAGATTACTATTTCTTCTAGCAATTTTCTTCCAACACGTAAGCTTCTCCAAGCATAGCTAGGTTAGTGTAGAGAAGCACTTAAATGAATCTATGAGTAGTGAAAACTAAGTAAAAATTCAGCCAAATAAATATGATAAAATTTACTCCAAGATAAAAATAATCACACAAAGACTCCAAAAATTTTAACTTGTAAAACCTCTTCAATGTGAATGATAAAAACCACAAGACCTCTCATGGTTCAAGTAAAAAGAGCTCTACTATAAAAATTAATATTTACAGCAACAATAAACAACCACTATAATATTCAAACAAATACTCAACAATAAATCAATCAAACAACAAAAGATAAATAAGAGAATAGAGAAATATCACCAAAGAAGCTATTGTTCATGCAAAATAGATACATTCTAATTGTTCAAATACGATCTCCACCATTCAGATTAAAGAACAACTTATCTCGAATATGATCACCAAATTGCAGCCTCATCAGATCACAAATGACCATCCGATCGTCAGAGAAAATTAAACTAGTCGGTATAAGAAAGAAAAACGTGAATAGTAATTTCAAACTGAAAGTACCAAAAATTCAACCATCCACAATCGATCTTCACCAATCACAATGAAGAACAACGAGTCTTTTAAATACCCACCAAATTTCAGCCTGATCTGACTAAAGATCATCGTCTAATCGTAGAAAGAAGCAAAATACGTTGGATGTAATTTTTCCAGCAAACAATTTTCTTTTTTTTTCTCTACCTTTTAGTTGCTGAAAACTTATTTTTATACTATTTCTTAGGGTTAAAGTGGTATACCCTAAAAAAATCTTAATAACCCTAATGGGCCAAAACAAGTGGGTTAAAAAATGATTTGAGTTTTTTCACATAAGAGGGAACCCAAAACCCAACAATTCTCCCCTCCTGATTATGTGGAGGAGTTCGCCAAATCGCCAACCATTCGACATGCTTTAAATTTCACTATTGGTAAAACCTTTGTGCACATATAAGAACCATTATCATCAGTGTGTATCTTATCAAGTTCAAGCTGTTTAAAATCCAAAACATCATGAATCCAATGATACCTCACACCAATGCGTTTGGATCTACCATAAAAAATAGAATTTTTACCAAGATAAATAGTACTCTGACTGTCACAAATAAGACATATATCTTTTGTGTAAAGCCCAGCTCATTTAAAAAATTCTTCATCCAAAGCAATTCTTTGCATGTTTCAATCACTGCATGACTCAGCTTCTGTAGTGGACAATGCATGCATTTCTGCAACCTAGATTGTCGTTCACAGCTCCCTCG